TATATATATATATATATATATATATATATATATATATATATATATATATATATATATATATATATATATATATATATATATATATATATATATATGGTTAGTTCTTTTATTTAATAAAAATATGGAAGAGAGTAAGGTTCCTATTGATCGGCAGAGAGTATGCACAGTTCCTTATGAATTTCGAAAAGACATAATTGAGTGGAAAGGGCAGCAATGTGGCAGACGTTATAAATATATAGAATAGGTAGAAGATTACTAAAAGCAGTAAATAGTTTTTATGTTCATAAGCACAGGTTAGGGTATGTAGGAGAGAAGAGGACTAATTTACTTTAAAATTAGGCCTTAGAGAGGGATATGTAATTCACCGTGGTTGTTTGACATATATACTGTTGGTGAATTGTAAAATTAGTAAATACCAGGGTGTTGGGGTGATGTGTGAGACTAAAAGATAATGAATTTGATACAAAGTAGGAGTTATGACAGAGAGAAAGGAGAGAGAGAGAGGAGAGAGAGGAGAGAGAGAGAAGAGAGAGAGAGAGAGAGAGAGAGAGAGAGAGAGAGAGAGAGAGAGAGAGAGAGAGAGAGAGAGAGAGAGGAGAGAGAGAGACAGAGAGACAGAGAGAGAGACAGAGAGAGTCCGGTAAGATCTTATCGCCCTTAAACCATGCCTTAAATTTTTATATTCCCTCCATTTTAACACATAATTATAGCATCATATAAAAAAAATTACTGTAAATACCTCTTATGAAATATTCTTGATAAAAGAATCATAATTGCACATCTCTCCAGGGCATACCTATTATTACGCTAAAAAAAATTCACTCTAATCCATTTTATGATTAGAATTATGTTTATGTTAAAGCAGCGCAATACTTGCCAGACACCTAATTACACTACACATGTGTTGGGTAATGAGTTTTCTGCATTCTCTGTCTGACCAATACAACATTCATTACCACGTGTTTACCAGATTATGTGTGCACAGCGTTGCCAGGCAATTACTGGCAGGTTAAGCTGAGTGCCAACGAAATAAACAACGTGAACTCTTGGGTATGCCAGCAGCGCTGACGTGAACACAAACTGCAAACACTAGGGCATTTTACTGAGAAAGGTTTCGGTCCTGGGTCAAGGACCCTGTCGGTACCTTTGTCCAATATCTTCTCGGTAGCTCTGTCCACTACCTTGTCGGTACCTTAGTCCAGCACCTTGTCTTACCTCTGTCTAACACCTTGTCGGTACCAAATATTAATTTATTAACAAGTACCAACAAGCTCACGGATGAGCTGTGACTAACACAACTGTAGTGAAAAAGCCACTGGCTGGCGAAATGTCTCCAAATAAAGATACCCATATAATGTACGTGTCTGATTCTCTATCGTAAACTAAGGAGTTAGATAATATAGAGATAAAACCAACCCTGGGATGTGATAGGAGACACAACACCACCGTCCACCGAGTAAACACATTCCCCAGAAAGGGAAAATATACGCAAGCAGAGATAAAAGGAAATATTTTAGTACTGTCATTTCACGAGAGTTATTTAACGCCTCCTCTGGTAAAAGATTTTTTTTTTTAACTTTGAATTTGAATTATAAATCTAAATGTCATGAACAGCAGTGACCTTCGCCTGTTTACCGTTTTTATATTATATTAATAATCATGTTAATTAAAAGAGGATCAAGATTAAGAATAATAATTATTATAAATTTATAAAATTATCATATAAATTTATACAAATTATTAATTATTATTTTTTTAATAATTGTTATAAAAATAATAATAGTCAAGCATTCTCCAGAAAATGTTTATTTTCTATAATAATGTCTTCCATAGAAAATAAAAAACAAAAATAAAAAAAATAAGAATGGGGCATATTCTAGTTTTAAAATACGCAAATAATTAATTAAAAAATACGCAAATAATTAATTAAAAAACAGTAACAATTACATCAGTTTAAATAATCAACACAACCACACTAAGGAGAGAAATCCTTAGCCGACGTTTCGGTCTGTCCCGGACCATTGTCAGGTCAGAAGTGAACGAGAAAACAATGAGGAAACGAACAGAAAGGTCGGCACTGAGGAAGAAAAAATGTATGTGCAGCCTTTGATCTGCCTAGGATACGAATTTTCTGCATTTTTCTTAGGGAAGATTTTAATTACCCTACTGACTGGCAAATATTGAGAAAATACTTACATATATATCAGAATATGAACCATATGAAAGATGACGGGATGTAAAAGAAAGTGTTGATTGTTCAGAAGCTAGTGTTGATTGTTCAGAAGCTAGTGTTGATTGTATAGACGCTAGTGTTGATTGTATAGACGCTAGTGTTGATTGTATAGATGCAAATGTTGATTGTATAGACGCTAGTGTTGATTGTATATACGCTAATCTTGATTGTATAGACGTTAGTGGTGATTGTATAGATGCTAGTGTTGATTATGCAGAAGCTTGTGTTGATTGTATAGAGGCTAGTGTTGACTGTGTAGACGCTAGTGTTGATTGTATAGAAGCTAGTGTTGACTGTATAGACGCTAGTTGTGATTGTATAGAAGCTAGAGTTGACTGCATAGACGCTAGTGTTGATTGTATAGAAGTTAGTGTTGATCGTATAGAAGCCAGTGATGATTGTACAGAAACTAGTGTTGATTGTATAGACGCTAGTGCTGATTGCATAGACTCTAGTGTTGATTGTATAGACGCTAGTGTCGATTGTATAAACGCTAGTGTTGATTGTATAGAAGCTTATGTTGATTGTATAGAAGCTAGTGTTCATTGTATAGACGCTAGCGTTGATTGTATAGAAGCTAGTGTTGATTGTACACACGCTAGTGTTGAATGTATAGACGCTAGTGTTGATTGTATAGCAGCTAGTGTTGATTGCATAGACGCTAGTAGTCCTTGTATAGAAGCTAGTGTTGATTGTATAGAAGCTAATGTTGATTGTATAGAAGCTAGTGTTGATTGTACTAACGCTAGTGTTGTTTGTATAGAAGCTAGTGTTGACTGTACAAAAACTAGTGTTGATTGTACAAAAGCTAGTGTTGATTGTATAGAAGCTAGAGTTGACTGTATAGACGCTAGTGTTGATTGCAAAGACGCTAGAGTTGATTGTATAGACGCTAGTGTTGATTGTATAGACGCTAGTGCTGATTGTATACACGCTAGTGCTGATTTCATAGACTCTAGTGTTGATTGTATAAACGATAGTGTTGACTGTATAGAAGCTAGTGTTAATTGTATACACGCTAGTGTTGAATGTATAGACGCTAGTGTTGATTGTATAGAAGCTAGTGTTCATTGTATAGACGCTAGTGTTGATTGTATAGAAGCTAGTGTTGATTGTATACACGCTAGTGTTGAATGTATAGACGCTAGTGTTGATTGTATAGAAGCTAGTGTTGATCGTATAGACGCTAATGTTGATTGTACAGAAGCTAGCGTTGATTGTATAGACGCTAGTTTCGTTTGTATAGACACTAATGGTCCTTGTATAGAAGCTAGTGTTGATTGTATAGAAGCTGATGTTGATTGTATAGAACCTACTGTTGGTTGTATAGACGCTAGTGGTGATTGTACAGAAGGTATTGCTGATTGTATAGACGCTAGTGTTGATTGTATAGAAGCTAGAGTTGATTGCATAGAAGCTAGTGTTGATTGTATAGATGCTAGTGTTGATTGTATATAAGCTAGTGTTGCTTGTACAGAAGCTAGTGTTGATTGTATAGAAGCTAGCGCTGATTGTATAGAAACTAGTGTTGACTGTATAGAAGCTAGGTTTGATTGTATAGAAGCTAGTGGTGACTGTATATAGGCTAGTGTTCACTGTACAGAAGCTGGTGCTGATTGTATAGAAGCTAGTGATGTTTGTACAGAAGCTAGTGTTCACTGTACAGAAGGTAGTGTTCACTGTACAGAAGCTTGTGTTCAGTGTACAGAAGCTAGTGTTCAGTGTACAGAAGCTAGTGTTCACTGTACAGAAGCTAGTGTTCACTGTACAGAAGCTAGTGTTCACTGTACAGAAGCTTGTGTTCAATGTACAGAAGCTAGTGTCACTGTACAGAAGTAGTGTCACTGTACAGAAGCTTGTGTTCACTGTACAGAAGCTAGTGTTCACTGTACAGAAGCTTGTGTTCACTGTACAGAAGCTAGTGTTCACTGTACAGAAGCTTGTGTTCACTGTACAGAAGGTAGTGTTCACTGTACAGAAGCTTGTGTTCACTGTACAGAAGGTAGTGTTCACTGTACAGAAGCTAGTGCTCACTGTACAGAAGCTTGTGTTCAGTGTACAGAAGCTTGTGCTCACTGTACAGAAGGTAGTGTTCACTGTACAGAAGCTAGTGCTCACTGTACAGAAGCTAGTGCTCACTGTACAGAAGCTTGTGCTCACTGTACAGAAGCTAGTGCTCACTGTACAGAAGCTTGTGTTCACTGTACAGAAGCTTGTGTTCACTGTACAGAAGCTTGTGTTCACTGTACAGAAGCTTGTGTTCACTGTACAGAAGCTTGTGCTCACTGTACAGAAGCTAGTGCTCACTGTACAGAAGCTTGTGTTCAGTGTACAGAAGCTTGTGTTCAGTGTACAGAAGCGGGTGCTGATTGTAATCTGAACACAAGTCTAGAAATGCTAACAGATATTTCCCAATAAAACTATTTTTAAAAGTTTCATTCAATATTAAGTCGTCCAGAAATTTCGTTCATAGCAACGGATTTAAGCAAAACTTACGACAAGCAATTCCAATAAAACGTTTCGAAAGTTTCATTCGACGCCGCCTCCCAAAACTTCAGTTCAGTGCAGCATAGTAAAGCAAAACTCCAGAAAAGAACATAAATATAGAAAAAAAAAAAACAGGTTTAGAGACAGGTATATGGCAGTTCGTTTTGAAGTGGGATAAATCCATTTCCAGAGTCAGGAAAACTGCATTATAAATATAAGTAGGATCCCAAGGCAAGGCTTTGGGAGAGGTGAGTTTGAGTGGGAGACTGCGCGAACTTACCTTTGACATCGAGGCCTCCTCTGAACTTGTCCCAACCTCGGAGGCGTACTTTTTCTCCCAGGAGACCCAGGAACTTGTCGAAGTATCGGCTACCGCCCTCTGTGGAAGAGCAAGAGAAGCCAGAGGTAAGTGAATGAGTTTTAGAGGAACAGCGCAGAAGGAAAAGAATAACAAGAAGAAAAGATGACTTCATCTGATTATAAACTCTGCGGGTTAGCCCTGGTTATCTCAAGCAAATCAATCAGTACAGTTGATTTGTATTCACAGACTTCGGTTCTCTTTCCCAGGATGCGACCCACAACAGCTGGTTAACACTCAGATACCTACTTACTGATATGCGAACAGGGGCAGCATGTGTAAAGAAACATGCTATCAAAGTGAACCAGGTTATTCGATTGTTTATATATATATATATATATATATATATATATATATATATATATATATATATTATATATAAATATATATATAATATATATATATATATATATATATATATATATATATATATATATATATATATATATATATATATATATATATATATATATACATATATATGGTTTAGAAAGACACGTAAGCAAACACTATAACATATTTATTAGAAAACGTTTCGGTCCTGGGACCTTGATCACTTCTAACATACAGAGGCAGGAAGACACCATATATAGGCGGAGAGTGAGGTGTGACGCACGTGACCTGAGGAATGTCATAAGAACATAAGAATGGAGGAACACTGTAGAAGGCCTACTGGCCCATGCGAGGCAGGTCCCCATCAAAAACAACCTCCGCCCATGATGAGGACGGGCAGACGATGAAATCACGTGACTCCTGTGTTGTTGGGTTGGTGCTGCTTAAGTATCATGTATGCCAATGTTTTTGAAATTTTGTAGTTTCCAGTGTTGCGTTCTATAGTGTCGGTGACGGCGATTAGTGAGGCTTCTAGGCACCGTCGGCGTCTGAGGTCTGGTTCGGTGAGAACGAGTTGTGCCTCATTCCAGTTCATCAAATGCCCAGTGGAGTCTCTGTGGAGGACACATGCGTACCTTACATCGTCTCTGTTAGAGGCATTTCGATGCTCATTCAGGAGGACTGCAAGATCTCTGTCTGTCTCGCCTACATATTTCTTGGGACAGAACCCACAGGGGATAGCGTAGACGCCTGCTGTAGAAGTTAGAGGTGTGGGGCTGCGTTTCGTAGTGAGGTCTTTGATAGATGATGTGTTTATGGTGGAAACGTTGATGTTACTCATAGTAAGTGTCCTGCGAGTATTCGTGGCAACATCGCCACATGGGAGTACTATGAACTGTTTAGGGGGCTGAGCATCGAAATGCCTCTAACAGAGACGATGTAAGGTACGCCTGTGTCCTCCACAGAGACTTCACGGGGCATTTGATGAACTGGAATGAGGCACAACTGGTTCTCACCGAACCAGACCTCAGACGCCGACGGTGCCTAGAAGCCTCACTAATCGCCGTCACCGACACTATAGAACGCAACACTGGAAACTACAAAATTTCAAAAACATTGGCATACATGATACTTAAGCAGCACCAACCCAACAACACAGGAGTCACGTGATTTCATCGTCTGCCCGTCCTCATCATGGGCGGAGGTTGTTTTTGATGGGGACCTGCCTCGCATGGGCCAGTAGGCCTTCTACAGTGTTCCTCCATTCTTATGTTCTTATGACATTCCTCAGGTCACGTGCGTCACACCTCACTCTCCGAGTATATATGGTGTCTTCCTGCCTCTGTATGTTAGAAGTGATCAAGGTCCCAGGACCGAAACGTTTTCTAATAAATATGTTATAGTGTTTGCTTACGTGTCTTTCTAAACCAACTTGTCGGTATTTATTACAAGGTTTATACCATATATATATATATATATATATATATATATATATATATAATATATATATATATATATATTATATATATATATATAATATATATATATATATATATCAATAACAACACTGCGCTAGCCAAGGATTCGAACCCATGTTGTACTGGCCTGCCTCAGGGTAAGCGAGAACCACATGACGCTTTAATTAAACCACATGACTACCCTAGGGTTGGGTGGTCCTGTGGTTTAAAGCGTCATGTGGTTCTCGCTTACCATGAGGTAGGCCAGTACAACATGGGTTCGAATCCTTGGCTAGCGCAGTGTTGTTATTGATCAATACCACTCGATCGTGGTTACAATAATATATATATATATATATATATATATATATATATATATATATATATATATATATATATATATATATATATATGTATATATATATATATATATATATATATATATATATATATATATATATATATAATATATACATATATATATGTATATATATATGTGTGTGTGTGTGTGTATGTATGTGTGTGTGTAAAGTAATAATATATCGTAGCTCTTATCAGTGTTAGATAAATTCTCAATAATAATAATAAAATAATAATAATATACTACACAAAAATCGCTACGTAAATTACTCATCTGCAATTAAAAATCTACCAATCAAACCTAATCTAAATAACGTATTTAATTCTTAGCTTATAAAGTTCAGTAAAATTAAACACTTTACTTGCGATATTATAAGTACGAATGCTACTTATATCTTCAAAAACGTTACGTTATGTTTTGACTTACCATTCTTCTCTGTTATAAATCCTACCTCTGTAAGTTTGGTACCTTGCAAGCCAGAGGACAGGCTGGTAGTGACTTGTATTATCCAGGTACTAGCTATAAATAGCATTTTGCTTTGTTTGTCTCTTTCTCTTTTTCTCTCTTTATATTCTCTACTAATACTGATACGCAAATAGGCATAACAATTAAAAGAAAAAGATCTGCCTGCGCACTTTATTATAATATTTTAAAACAAATTTTTAAAACACTACTACTACTACTACTACTACTACTACTACTACTACTACTACTACTACTACTACTACTACTACTACTACTAATAATAATAATAATAATAATAATAATAATAACCATAAAATATTATACATATTTTATTTTGTGTAACCACAGGATCAGAGGAAAGACTTATCACTTTCAGAATCTTCAGATTTTTTTCAGGGGATGGGGTGATGGGGACGAAATTGCTAAGGTATCTAGAAAAGAAAATGTGGTTTTAATGAGTGAGTTTAACTTCAGCCAAACTGACTGAAGTAATCTGATAGTAAATTTAGAATCTGCCTTTTTTTGAAGTAGTGGGCGTCAGAAGCGACTAGTTCTGGCAAACAAGGATTCTCTGTTAGATAATCTTGAGGATAATGAAAAGCTTGGAGATGGCTGTCGATAATCGTTTGGTTTTAATAACTCATGAAATTACCTTAATAATGATAATTCGCTCTAGGTTAGGTTTATCAGGAAACAGGACAAGCGTTTCCTGACGAAGGTCTTAGTCATATGATTATCCACAACTGCAGCTTTTGGTCATCTGACCGAGGCCTTTCCCTGGCTTACCGGTCCACCCTTTAAAAATTATGGATGAGTGTTCAGATTATGTAGGATTGAGGGACTACTTGAAATTTGTTAGATAAAAGGAAACAGGTGAAACTAATGTGACATTTTATTATGGCAACGTTTCGCTCTCCAGGAGCTTCATCTAGCTGTTACATATTGTCGGTAATTCTACCAAGATTAATACTACTTGAAATTTGTAGACTGAAGTCTCCTGACAGACAGTGGTGATGCTTGCTAATATGACATTTTTCATGTTGTTTATGCATTGGTCATGTTGCATATATTCCTAAGAGAGAATTTAGATCAAACATGAATGACCTTAAACGAATAAACAATAGACTGAAACATCTTTTGGGTGAAAAGAAAGGCATTTAAAGGTGAGCTGAAAAGAGTTGAGGGTCACTTTATTGAACAATATTTTCAGTTTAAGTGACAAGAAAAATAGAATAAGGAAAGCCAAGATAGAAAGTGAAATTAAGTTTGTGAGGGACTCAATGACACTCTTAGTCTTTCAGGAATTTGGGAATAAGATTCGGGAAATGATAGGCCCATTTAAATGTAATTCTGGTCAATTTACAGATAGTGACAAATAAATGTGCACCATTTTCAATACTTATTTCCTCTCTTTTTTATTCTAAGAGAATGTTAACTAAATACCAGAAATCAAGAATTATAATGGTCAGGGTGAAAATAAATTATGCAATATCGAAGCCACTAGTGATATGGTCCTTAGGTAACTAGAATGAAGTCAAACAGGTCACAGGTCACAGGTCACGCAAGAGTGTTGCGCCGGATAAGTGAAAACTAGCATAGGTGATATGCAGTGACAAGGTGTGAGATAGATTCTTAACTTCAAATTAGAGTCCAATCAGCCTATCATTAATTGTGAGAGAGTAATAATGGTAGAATTACCGACAATATGTTAGGTAAATCGACACATATAAGGTGACATTTTGTTGTGGCAACGTTTCGCTCTCCAGGACCCTTGTTAAACCATTTTGTAATAGCTTGACAAAGCTCTTGGAGAGTGAAACGTTGCCACACTGAAATGCCACATTACAGTTGCAGCTGTGTCCTTTTACCTAGCATGTGAGAAGTTGATGAAATCAGTAATTATTAATGCAATTCGAAACCACCTTGAAATATATAAATTAATCAACGAATATCAACACGGATTTACAAAGGAGAGTTCTTTTGTACAAATTTACTAACCTTCATCGCTAAAGTATTTGAGGTGGTAGACCAAGAGAAATACGATATTTTGTATATGGACTTCCGTAAGGCCTTTGATAAAGTTCCACACAAGAAACCGATTAAGAAAGTAGCAGAACATGGTATAGGAGGAGAAAGTCTCTCCTTGATCGGAGGATGGATGACCAGTAGGCAACAGGATTTGCATTAATAGGGAGAAATCAGAATAGGGACCTGTTACGAGTGGTGTGCCACAAGGATTAGTGTTAGGACCCTTGTTATTCACAATTTACATATACGACACACGTGAAGAAATAAATATTGACTTTAGTAAGTTTTCCGATGACACTGAAACATACAAATAAGTTCTGATGAGGACATAAGAAAGCTACAGGATGACTTGGATAAGTTTGAGGATGTGGTCAGAG